TTACCCCACCTAGTGACTACTGCTCACAGCACTCTCTACTATAATAAACAGATAACCTAATAGTGTCTTCAGTAAAAAACTATCAATCATAATTTATTTTTGAAAACATATCATATCCAAGTGCACATAATTACTTGGTCGTATTCTCCTCGAAGTTATCTAGGGTGCCCATCTAAATCTTTCCTTTTTATCAAATTTGTCATTGCTTCATTGATTTTGACATCAACATACCGTTTTGTTCAAAAGGTTGGTATAGCCTCTTTTTTATTCTGAAACCTATCAACCAATATAACATATACAGTACCAGTTATTCAGGATACTTTATGACATCTGAGTATGCTTGCGCTTGTAGTGTGTGAAGCCGGTTTTTATGGAAATCAATGTTTAAAGTCGTGTGGCAGTTGTCAAGGTGTGAGTTGTGACAAGGACACTGGAGACTGTACGACAGGGTGCACAGATGGATGGACTGGAAACGAATGTGACAACAAGGGTAATATTCATATGATATCTCTACAATAAATATATTTGTGACTTTATCCTCTAAAAACAATTTCTAAAAGTGTTCTCCTCAGTGTTAAAGGATTTAAAAGATTTTATTCCAACCTAGAATATGATATCAAAGAAACATCCCGATTCGAAAAATGAAAAGGAGGCACAAGAAACAAAAATGATAACTAAGAGAAAATGTATGACATACGCAGTAAAAATCCATTACTTTTGATGCTATAGCGGTACTTATAACGAATGGGGACTCCACAGTCGGAATAGGCGTCGGATCCGGAGTGGTTATACTGGTTCTGGTCATCGTGATCATTGTACTGGTCAGACGTCTCACGATGAAGCGCGGTGACACCACAGGTTCTTCTCATATGACAGATATATCATTGTCGAGAACTGCAAAAGAGCTAAAACAAAATCAAGGTAAACAGCTACTGCATTTGTACATCCACATTGGAATTATNATCCCACTTTTAAACCAACTCCAGACGGTGTTAGGATATTTTAACCTTACGGCTCATTAGCTCATGTTAATATCATATATGTTTGGTGCATTTTCCAGATAATACCTACGACGAAATAGCAACGTGCAACAAGGAACAAACCATTGCGCAGATTTCACACAATGAGGCAAATTATGAACAGCTTGGACGCAGGGAGGTGGAAATTCCAAATATATACGAGACAACAGATGTTGACAAGGAAACATAGGGAAATGCTTCTTGTAAAATGGACAGTTTTATCATTCAACACAACGTAACGTTGGTGCTGGAACTAAATTACACACATATAACTTTTGTTTTGATGAATTCGTCTCCTAACTGAACAGAATAATAAGTAGGTGATGAACATTGACAGTGTTGTAGATTGTGTATATTCAGTTGTAAATTCTTGTATGATTTTTAAGTTGTCAAACTATCGGAATGTCAGTTTTGTGAACCCAAGCATGTTTCATATATACTGTCAGTGTTGCGGTTAAATGTATTTTCATACTGACTTAGTATTTCGTCGTTCTGTACAGCAGTTTATATATTTTATATTACTGTAAGACTTTTGCTTTTATCGCACTTAGCCATTGCAGTGAACTTTATATAATTTGTCATTTTACGATCTCAGAAGTTAATTTGAGGGATGAATGTTTGGGAGTAGAAGTTTAAGTAGTTTTGAGCAAGTTTTCAAGCAGTGTTAGATAAGCACACAGTTGACAGGTGGTTGACTAGTAACAGTGTTATATGAAGCATACAAAATTCATTGAATAAAATATATCTGTATCTTAATGGACTCAAACAAATATGTTGATCGAAGGCAAAAGTGGATGTCTGGGTTTTTGGTTTTACTTTTGTGCAGTGTTAGATAAGTGTCGAAAGGCTATATTAAGAAATATGCATTTATATAGACACTGAGTAATGAGTAGAAGAATATTAATATTTATTGTTTTTTTAAAAGAGTTTTTTTTTGCATTGAATGATACAATAAGTAGGTGTTCAGCTGCTTTCATTATTATTTTTTCGAGAGTATTTCACCAACACAATAATTCAGCTATTCGCTATCTAGGATAAGCAATGCATTGAAACAATTCTAAAATGTTTGAATAGTTTCAAAATATTTATAGATATCTAATCCTACAGGTTTATTTAGATATATTTGTCACCTGCTGTTCACCATTGTATGAGGATGTGATTTAATGCGGTTTAGCAAAACTTTCATCACATTACATAACGTTTATTATGCCCCCGCCATAAAAT